TAAAAGCACATGATCTTGGAATCTGCCTGTAAACTTTTATTGTGAAAATAACTTTAAAGCTGCACTAATTAATATTTTTATATCAACAACAGATTTAATGACTGTGTAATGTGAAAGAGGTCGTTCGTAGTAGCAAACTCAAACAGAATTTTTACCTGACTCTGCTGTTCCCTTCAACAATATGGAGCGTTTTAGCATCTTTATGCTCATTGTTTTGGTTTTACAGCCTGAAACTTTGTTTTGGTTCACTCTCAATGCTCTCATCAAATCCAGGCAGCTGTTCTCTTTGAAATACTAAAATAAACCTATTGTAAGGTACCTGCCCTGCACCAGACAGATAATGTCTGGACATGGTGAACATCAAGCAGCTGGAGTTGGTGGAGACCAAAACAGATCTCAAAAAAGGGTGAATGTTAGACTAACATTTGTCAGGTGGCCAGAAACATGACTCTAAATGAAGTCCATGGTTGCTCTGTGTCTGCTGGAGGTGTAAACAGGCAACTGTTTGCTAATGCATTCCATTTACAATTTTATATGGTGATCATATGGCAGTGTAGTGTTTTCAGCTGCCCCCAAGTGCCCAAAAAATGAATTAATGCTGCTTTAAACAGATCACTAGAAATTCCTCCATAGAAGACCATAAATATATATTTTGATAATCTATGTTTTAGAATAAGAGTAAAGTACATCTAGTTTAATGAAAATGCTGCTTCGACAAAACACTGAGTTAGCCTTTATGTAGGCTAAACACAGTAGCAGCTGCTGGATGTGACCAAACAGATGGCACAGGTAAGATACAAACACACACACACACATACACATAGGGTCCACTCACCTGATGTGACGCATTAGGTATGCACACCTTACCTGCTGGTGTAAGATATGAATGAACAAGGATGAGATTTAATGGCTGTTTTACATACCCATTATCTTACTTTCTCTTCATCCTCTTCCTCCTGCTTGTTCTTTCTCCATCTCCCCTCTCAGCGCCAGCTCCATTCAGCCCAAGCTTGTTGTTTGAATGAGAGGAGCGGACCACCCTGGGGAGAAATGGGGGGATCACATTACGCCCAAAAATGTAGAGGGCCTACAAAAGGGCCATGAGACATCAGGGTGAGGGAGAGAGGGCGGCAGAGAGAGGGAGAAATAGGAGAGGACATGAAAGAGTGCATTAGTGCGGGGGGAGGGAGAGATTGATTGGGATGGAGAGATGAGGGAATGGATAAAGAGAGGTGGAGGTGAGAGAAAGGAGGGGTGGAATAGGGTGAAACACTTTTTTCTTTTTCTTATAATGATCTACACTCTTGTATTCAGTATTGTATATACTTACACCTGGCTATTTCTCTTCCTAGCTTTTATTGTGTAAATAATTTACATTTAAATTCAAACTGGGTCTTAATTTTTGTAGTTTTGGTCATCATTCCAATCAGTAACAATTAGATGTTCTCGCTAAATTATCTGCTGAGAACTAGGAATGTGTCACACGAGAGAAGAATCAAAAAGTCGGGCACTCATAAAGGTTTTAATCAACATTACAGGGCAGTCACACTTATTTAGAAGAAAAAACTGAGGAAAATGTTAAAATGATTCCCTAAATTGAGTTTACAGACCAACTTTGTGTCTCTTACAAAATTTGTTTACATACATTTATATCCTAACAGCAAATGCATTGAGTAAAAGACACACAGATTAGGATTTTATCAACAAAATTAGGAAACATTTTTGCAAAAAGTTCCAAAATGTACTGAACATATCTGCAAAACGCTGACTGACTGATTTGCGTTCCCTACAATATTCACTATTATATGAACCAAAGCATGATGAAACTGTTTTATGGCTATGATTAGATACTCACTTGGTTAAAGTTGGGGAAAGAGTACTGTCTTGATTTACTACTGGAAGATTCATCACTGACTTGAAACAACAGACACAACATTTTATATTTACTATTATAATATTGAATCAAACTATGATGTTTCCCTAACTTTAACCAAGAACATTTAGTGGCCCAAACCCCTAAACCCCGGTTTCAATGACAGAGTCCTGCACCTTGTTGCCCGCCATCCACCCAAAGTACAAGACTGTAACACTTCCTGGACCTGAAAAACTGTTGCCAGCAAACATAATACAGGCAGAAATCACATTTGCTTCAAAATGTAATTTTTAGAAGACAGATTTGTTGTTTTTCAATACTCACAATTACAGTACTGTAGCTTACCAGTGCAATGAATCATTTCTGATATTTTGACTGTGCTCAGTTTCGGTTTTACCACCAAAGAACGTGGTTTGGAAAATATTGAACTGCTCATGCTATTCCCAGATCTCTGTGAACACTTTGGTGAGCACATTGTTGTCATAACGAATATAAACTATGTCCAAAACTACTAAATTAGACGGAGTGTTCCTTTAATTCAGCTCTGGTATGCATGTGACACATACACACATTTTTAAATCCTGCAAACCACTAACCACACTGATCGCTATCTAGAGTATCTATTCAAGTTAATGTATACCTGTTGATTCAGCAGGACTGACATATATTATTAATGTGTTAACTATCCTGTATGACTAAGCAACATACGTAATTGTAGATGTGAGATGGAGGCAGATAATGGATGGAGGGTATATGAGGCCTTCTCGTCATTAAAGTTACACGTTGCAAGTCAAAAAGTAGTGATTCACACACATCATAGCTTTTTCATACCACTAAATTCATCTTCTTATCTCACAGAAGCAAATGCATTCTTTACTGAAGCTGCAGTTTCTAATAAATGTCCTTAGGGGGCGCTGTGAGTCAGGGCTTTGGGATTTATCTGTAGAGCATAACTCTTCCTATTGCCTTCATTGACATTTAATGATAATTATAACTTGGGTCACACTAGGGGCAGATGTACACACACACACACACATACACATACGTTGCCTGGTTAAAATCATGAAGACATTAGCGGTAACTTGATGCTGAGTGAGTATTGATCTGCTCTCAGGGGGCTTAGAGAGTGAGAGAACACTAGACAGCACTTTATCACAGCACTTGACCATCTAAACTGGCCAGTGCTATATGTGTGTAGGTGTGTGCATGTGTGTGTGCGTGTGCGTGTGCGCGCACACACCAGAGTAATTCCCCCTCTGTCTTTGATGAGCAGGTTGGTCCAAGGCTCCGGGCTGAGTTCTGTAAGATGCTTCACACTTGGATGATTCGCTGGTGTTTGTAGTTTTCCACGCATTGCTTCTGTCTGTCATGTGTCATGTGTCTGCAGGAATACTGAGGACTTGATGTATGTACGGTTGCATGGAGGCCTGTAATACATGGACTTGTTGTAGTGTGAGACGCTCATAAGATTTGCCGCCTGTCATCGGCTCTTTGTCCTGGCTATCTTGCATCTCTTGTGTTTGACGACCTGGGAACAAGAATGGGCTGTGAATATGTTAAACTCACAAAAAGCTCAAAAGGCCCATATCTAAGGCGATC